TTTTAAAACAGTAACAAAACCAATAAAATGTAACACACCTCAAAATCTCTACTACTATTGCATCTCTGACGAGATCTTTGTTTTGAGAGTTCTTTCAGTTTTTGGAGTTGTTCTCGTTTTCTTGCAGCTGATGTTTTTTCAGGTTGATTTTCTATCTCTGCCGAAGAACATTCATCTTCAACCACTCTACGTGGACGTTTAATACCTACTTTTTTAACTAGGATATCACTGTCATCACTCTCATCACTGTCCGACATCACAGAGGAGATTCGTTTTCTCTTCCCTCGCTTAATGTGTTCCTCATCTACATCCTCCTCTGTTACTTGTTCAGTGTGTTTGTTAAGATCATCGTCCTCCTGACTTGACTGCTTTTCATGATCTGGTAAGTCAATACTACTATGTTTGGTTTTGTTCTTTTCTTCATATATTGAACTGTTGCCAGTGTTAATGAGATGCTCACCATTGTTTCCTTCACTTTCAGCTTTAATTAATTTAAGTTCTCTTTCATTTTCTGGCTTCTTATTACTATCAAGTGCCTTGTTACTAGCAAGTTCTTCATCACTGTCAATACTTTCATCACTGTCAAGCTCTTCATCACTATCAAGATTTTCATCACTATCAAGATCTTCATCAGTATCAAGGTCTTCATCACTATTAAATAATTGTGAGATACTTCTTTTAGTCCGCCTCCAATCAACTCGAGATTTCTGCTCATGTTCTTGAGTTTTAGAATTTTTCCTTGTTTCATGTCTTCTGACTTGTATCATTTTCACTTAACTTCTACAAAATAAAGTTATTAGGAATATAATAATGATAACTAGATTATAACAATGAATGCATTTATGGTACAAACTGTATTTATTTGGTATAAAATGCTTCAGAAAGGTAACATCACATGAAATATCTGAGTAAAGATAGAAGAACATTTATTCAACAAATAATTTAATGAGCATCTATGAAAGCATTATGTGAATGTATATTCTAAATTATGATATGTTTTGCTGAAAGAGATACATAGAAAAATCATGGTCCTATTCTTCAGAAGACTATTATCCATATGTAGAAGTAAAACATGTATACATATGATAAGAAAAATGCAAGGGAATATTCGTTTAGTACCAAGAGAATGATAAAAGTAATTGATAAAAGTGTAAAGATGCAGAAAGATTAGAATGACCAGTGCTTCCCCAAAGATTTTATTGAACAGGTATGAGCTGATAAACTTCTAAAGGCCTGGTTATATTTGAACAAAAATAATGAAAGAAAAAAGTGATTTCAGGCAGATAAAAATGGTGAAGTCAAAACTTTGTCACTGAGAAAGAACACAATAAGTTTTGTAAATAACTGTGACCAAAACAAGTGTGAAAAAAGGCTTTATGATAGAAAAAAAGATACCAGTATAGAAAAGTAAGGTGGGATTACCAGAGTAAGCAAAGAAGAATTCTGAATAGAGATATGACATGAATCATAATATAAAGGATCAATCAACTTATATTAAGGAAATTATAAAGTAGTAATTGACATAAAAAAGACAGTGGTGCAGGTAAAAGATAACCTATCCACGAAGATTGCAGCCTCTATATAATTTAGTAAAATAGCAATGGCTTTAAACCACTCAAAGTTTAAGACATAATATAATCCAACAGGAAACTTACTAAAAATCCAATAACATAATCAGGTAAAAAACCAAAAGTTTCATAGTGAAGCAGGGTATGGTATTGGGAAAGGAAAACAAATGCTTTAAGTTTCTGAATCAGAAAAAAACAAACTCCAATAAAAGTATCACAAGCATATAGTAAAGGAACACAGAGAAAAGATAATTACAAAAACAGTATCACATATACTTCTGTGGTTGCTAAGGAAACTAGAAATATCACAATATAATGAGACTGACTTCATAATACATGTATAAGAGCTTGTACATTTAACTGAGGCCAATCTCCTTCAAAGAAATCACCTTATGAGACTGATTATTCTAATATTTCCACCATGGCACACAATATTCCTAGAGATTTGCTATAAACCATTACAGCAAAAAATATTTATAAATATATAAAAATAACCACACTTCACTTTTATCCCAAAGAGTGGTTTATATACAGACTTTATGAACTTGTCTCAGTTATAAGACACCACATAAGTAGCTTCCAGAAATTACTGTATTTTGCCATGAATAACGTGCACTTTTTGCCCAAATTTTTGAGGGAAAAACAAAGATGCACAACATACATGGGTAGAGCTAATTCTATATCTACACAAAATGTTTTCAATTATTTTATTTATGCTTATGTGTTAAAAGTGTAACACTAGAAAGCAATAATCATATCTACATGCAAAACAATACTCTGGAATACGATAATTGGTTTTGTTTTTAAATGTAAGTAAATATAAGTAAATATAACAATGATAAAGATAATTAACATGTCATAGTATAAAAGTACCAATGATTACACAATCATATAGTAAATATGATTACTTCCTTTTCATATATTAAATTTTCAGTTCATTTTCATATTTTTATATGACAATAATCCTAAGAGGAAGATATGATCATCTTTGTTTATAAAAATCCACACCAAGGACACAGAATTGAAATGACTTACCGATGATCACAGAACTTGTTAGAGAGGAGGGATTAGAAACCAGGTCTCCTGATTCCCGATCCGGTGCTACACAAATGACTGCTGTCAATATTATATTTGTACAAGGAAGTAAAAATTATGCCTTTAAAAATAATTATTTTATCTCTCATTCATGCTAAAATTTAGTTTCAGAAAATAATCATTAAAATAGTTTAAAGTTTACAAACATGCTTCTTTAATTATGTAACTGAATTTTGCTGTATTAGGCTAGAAACTTCTGAAAATTAGTTATCCAATAGGAAAGAAAAGAATGTACTAGGGAGATGAAAATCTGCAGACTTCCCTTTATCATCTTACTTATTATACTGATTGCAAATTTTAAGGGATTTCCATTAGATCAAAAAGCAAAAATTTCAAAATAAGGCAGTTTCCAATGAGAAAACTAGTGTTGAATGTTTGAGAAGATACAATTTACTTAATTAAAATAAGTTTTATTTGGCCAACTGCCAAATTTCCAGGGTCTCTCATATTTCAAAATTACCATTTTGATCAATAATGTCAAAAATTCTGTCACTGAGAAAGAAGACAATTTGAATATGGTTGGCTCCTATTTTTAAAATTAGCTGGGAGGGAGGGGTGAAAGAATGATGACAGAGGGAAAAGGGTCCAGCTCGCTAACTAACTGGACCTGAGAGAAATGAGAAGGTAAAGCTACATTATGAGAAAAACATTTCTTGGTTGTTAGAATTAAAGAAGAATACACGCAAATGATGTAATATCTATATAAATGCTGAGTATACACTCAGTTTCTTAAAGTGAAAATTTAATGAAGCTCCTCTAATGACATCCTACCTTTAGGCAACAAGAAAAAAAAACAGACTCTAAACATAAAACATTAAATAAGTGAATAAGGATGACAAATATTATCACACCTTGTGCTTCTTGGTTATTATCATGTGAGATGCACCTACATAGCTATGCTGACTGCCAAAGAATGCAAAGGCGATAATCCGTATTGCTTGTGTTCTTTCTTAACAATTAACTATAAAACTAATAAAGGGTACTTTAATGTCTCCCACATTTCTCACCAGAATACCCTTTCTTCTATACTTGAGGTTAATTAATCCTCAAGATAAGATTCATTCTAGGAATCATCTACTTGACCTATAAACAATGTAGGTGGCAGTTTACACTTTAGGATCTTAAGCGCAGCAAAACCCTAGCCACTACCTGAAATTCCACCAGGGGGGATACAATCCTATTTGTAAAACATCATCCCTCCTTGATGTCTGCTTACATGTGACAGTTTAGACGGAAACCTTAATAAGCCAAACAAATAGTTATTTCATGCATTCCATGTGCCAGCACACGAACAGAACTGTGGCATTACTAGAAGAAATCAACAACAGGGTCTCTGCTCCCATGGAGCTCACAATCTGATGAAATTGCTAGGGACATCAAACCGAATCAGCATAATACAATGGCTTAAGGGCTATAGTAAATAAACTGATCCTATTTCTTCCACTGGCTGGGAAAACGAGCAGAATACGACAGAACAAGAAATAGGAAAATATGAAGAAACACGAAAAGACAGGAAAACCAATTTCCGCCCACTTATTACCACGGTCCAATACTCCACAATTTCGCAGAACAGTTCCTGCCAATTTGGCGTCCCGGACAGCTATAGTATTCAATAAAACCTGTAATACTGAAGGTAATTCGCTAAATCCAGCAGGGATGAGTGGCAGAGGAGGAACAGATTCTCTTGGGAGTAAACACCTGAGTTATTTTCTGAATTACAAACCTGGCTCTTAGGCGGGATGCAGATACCCGGAGAGGCAAGCCCTCCAGTCCGCTGCTCCGCCTCTAGGAGGAAGGAGCACGGTCGCCAGGGAACCTGGACCCTAGGACCACCCTTGCCGGTGACGAGCGCCAGACGACACAAAACCCTAGATTCTGGAGCAGCTCCGCACTCACAAAATAAACAGGAGTAGGGTGAGGCCAGAATCCCGCCAAACCAATGCCCCAAGTCAGCGTATTAGTCCCGCCCAGTTCCCCACCGCGGAAGGAACGTGCACCCAGCCCACTGCAGCGCAGTCCCGCCGTGGAGTTTGCGCCCAAGACTGTTCCGCCCTCCAGGAAGGCAGCGCGGGAATTTTTATCCAGGCCTACTGTGAGGCGCGGCTTCCCCGGCCCCTCCGGGAAACCTTCTGTAACTGGAGCCGGAGTCCCAGCGAGTCTCCGCCCCGAGCTGGCCGGCACCGCCCCCGCGCCCGCACCTTTCAAAGCGCCTCCGCCTCTGCCCACGCCTTCGCCGTGGCTGGAGGGACTCCTAATGAGCGACGCCCCTGCTTGTTCCGGAGAAAAGGGGAAGTCCCTCCTCTGAGGGACAAGGGGCGGGGCCAGGCAGCGGGAGGGGGCGTCTTCCGGGAGCGTGTGCTGTGGGAGGAGCGGTCGCTGCTTGTTAGTCTGGGAATGGTGCGGGTTCCTGGTTTCCTCTGAGGTGGGAATAGGGGCCGGGCGGGTTGTGAGGGACCGGGAGGACTGTCCGGGCCAAGCCCAGTGCGGGCAAGTGGGCTTGCGGTGGAAAGGGCTGGCTGCCCGGGAAGGAATCAAAACAACCGTCCCCTTGGGGAAGGGAGCCCGGTCCCGGCTCCCTGCCTCTTCCGCTCTCCGCCTTAACTTCGGGGTGTGGCAGGGGTTAGTGACGGGTGTCTCCAGGTATCTGGGCGTGAAGGTTTGTGGTCTCGTTGGGATCGTAGTCTTTCCCGCGGCCACTGGGGCAGTAAAACAAATGTTTGTGATCCGGGTTATCCGCGGTGACTCGGGGCCCTCCTCTACTGCCCACCTAAGTTAAAGGCCTGTTCCCTCAAACTTCTTTCCCTCTCACTTTCCTCTGTTGTGTCTTTGCCAGCCACGCCCAGCTGGGACAGATTCAGGCCCACCAGGTTCCTGGTAAGGCGGACAAACTGAGTAACAGCGTGTCCTGCTGAGTCTGTGCGATAGAAGAATTTTGTGGGCTGCTTCAGGACGAGTGTGGGGAGAGCCCCAGAGCCTCACCATGTCTGGGAAACGGAAGCGAGTGGTGTTGACTATAAAAGATAAGCTTGATATAATAAAGAAACTCGAAGATGGGGGTTCTTCTAAACAACTGGCAGTGATTTATGGAATTGGCGAGACAACAGTTCGGGATATAAGAAAAAATAAGGAGAAGATTATAACTTATGCAAGCAGTTCTGATTCCACAAGTCTTCTGGCTAAGAGGAAGTCTATGAAGCCATCCATGTATGAGGAACTGGACAGAGCAATGCTGGAATGGTTCAACCAGCAAAGAGCGAAGGGGAATCCTGTATCCGGACCCATTTGTGCAAAAAGGGCAGAGTTCTTCTTTTATGCTTTGGGAATGGATGGCGATTTTAACCCCTCTGCCGGTTGGTTAACTCGTTTTAAGCAGCGGCACAGCATTAGAGAAATTAACATTAGAAATGAACGATTAAATGGTGATGAGACTGCCGTGGAAGAATTTTGTAACAGCTTTCGAGATTTCATTGAACGGGAGAATCTGCAGCCTGAACAAATCTACAATGCAGATGAAACTGGACTCTTTTGGAAATGCCTGCCTTCTAGGACTTCAGTAATCAAAGGTAAATGTACTGTCTCTGGGCACAAGTCAGTTGAAGAAAGAGTCACTGTCATGTGTTGTGCCAATGCAACAGGTTTACACAAACTTAAACTTTGTGTTGTGGGCAAAGCAAGGAAACCTCGCTCCTTCAAGTCAATTGACACCTCAAACTTGCCTGTCTCTTATTTCAGCCAGAAAGGTGCATGGATGGATCTTTCCATTTTCCGACAGTGGTTTGACAAGATCTTTGTGCCGGAAGTTCGAGAACACTTAAGATCCAAAGGCCTGCAGGAAAAGGCTGTGCTCTTATTGGATAATTCACCAACACATCCAAATGAAAATGTCCTTCGGTCAGATGATGGCCAAATATTTGCTAAATATTTACCACCTAATGTGGCTTCCTTGATTCAGCCCTCGGACCAGGGTGTCATAGCAACAATGAAGAGGAACTATCGTGCAGGTCTTCTCCAGAACAACTTGGAAGAAGGTAATGACCTGAAATCATTCTGGAAGAAGCTAACTCTGCTAGATGCACTTTATGAAGTAGCAATGGCATGGAATTTAGTAAAGCCTGTTACCATTAGCAGAGCATGGAAGAAGATTCTCCCTACCATAGAGGAGAAAGAAAGCTTGGACTTTGATGAAGAAGATATTTCACTGGCTACAGTGGCCACCATTTTACAACACACCAAAGGATTGGAAAATGTGACTACTGAGAACATTGAAAAATGGTTTGAAGTGGACAGTACTGAACCAGGGTATGAAGTATTAAGTGACAGTGAAATCATCAGAAGAGCTCAGGGCCAGACAGACGAATCCAGTGAAAATGAGGAGGAGGAAATAGAACTGATTCCAGAGAAACATATCAATCATGCAGCTGCTCTCCAATGGACTGAAAATTTATTGGATTATCTAGAACAACAAGGTGATATGATTCTACCTGATAGACTGGTGATACGTAAACTTCGAGCCACCATCAGAAATAAACAGAAGATGACCAACTCGAGTCAATAATAGCATTTCACTGTTATTGTTTTGGTGACTGTGTTGATAACTTTTAACCTCTTTGCAATAATGGCTTTATTTTGTGTGTGTTCTGAATTCTCAGGCAGTCCTATCAAATACAGGTACAAAAATGTGTCAAGTGGTTTGAGGATTGTGCTTTGCATCATCTGTGTCTCTTGTCCTTTCACTTATGCAGATAATTTGAAGCTGGTTCTGTATGAATATAATTTACATGTACTTGTTTTCACTTTTGTAGATCTATAATTATTCCTTCCATAACAGTGGCATTCTCTAAATTTTTTAGCAAAAATTAACAGATTGAGAGCATTTTCCTAAAATTTTTTGTTTGATTTGTAACCACTGTCACAGTAATCTTTTCTTGTGCTAACCCTCTTAAATGGTTGTTTTGTGTATCTGTATATGCTGAAAATATGAGGAAATATCTATATTATATTGCAGGATGATCTATAGTAATTCAAAATGAAGTTCAGTAATAAGAAGGAAACTGATTTATGAATTCCAATAATAACTTAGAAAAAATTTTGGATGGTACTAGGGGGAGATTTTTCTGGAAATGGAAGTAAATATGATATAGGAAGTAATTGCTCACTTAGTGAGAAAACTTGGAAAGCAGACATATAAAAGATCGTAATCTATTTGTAGAAAACTGGAAGTTTAAATTTGGGAAACTTTATTTATACAAAGGGAAGAAATTGGGTTCTTTTAATTGGGTAACAGTATAAGTTTATTATTTATTCATCTAATTATACTACAGGTTTTATGTTACATGTGGTATTGTTCTATGAGCTCCCACCTTATATGTGGGGGAACAGCTTGGGAATTTGAAAGTTATTTTTCTTACTGTGTGCTTAATATTATGTAAAATTTGAAAAAAAACTTGTCATACATTCCCCTTTTATTACATTTCAAAAGAAAGAAGAATAAAGTTTTTATTATTTTTAATAAGCCATAGAGAATGACCTGCTTTATGAAGAGAGCAGAAATAATTAGGGAGAGTGCCAGATTCTTAGGAATTTCATCATTTATTATTTTGACACTTGTAAAACATTCTAGAATTTATCAAAATTTTGATAAATTTGCTTAGTAAATTTAGTATGTTTATTCAAGACATGAAAAACATTACTTATGTGAGTATTAATTTAATTTATGATTTAAAAGCAAAATGTGATATTTAATGTTTTGGCACTAATTTTTTTAAGTAAGTTTTTAAAAAGTAGAATTAGCCATTTTTAAACTTTATCTTGAAATACTTTGCAATTTTATAGTGCCTTCTTAGAATTCTAAAACTTCAGAAAGATTTTTCACTTTCCATAATTTCTGTTAACTTCATGATATATGTCCAGGTTTTTTTTAAAGACATGTCTGTGATGAGAATTTGAAAGTTGTTTGTGTCGCATGAATTGCCTCTGTGCACAGAGGGGGAAAAGCCTCAGAAGTTAAGATAGATATTGAAGCAGATTACATCTTCTATAAATTACTCATATGTAAATTGATTTTTAATTTCTCTAAAATGAAAATGCTAAAAAGTTTTTTGGAATTTGTCTGGATTTGCTCACTTTTAAAATTAATCTTGTCTGTGAAATTCAGCTGTATCATTGCCACCTAGTGGTTAAATTAACAACTGTTAAGCTGTGTGGTTTTAAACTTTAATATCTAGTAAAAGGTTCACTGTTTTGTGGCCTTGAGTGTGAATCTTATGACTCTTCTCTAGCCTGTGAGAGACTTTGCTTTCTTCGATTTATAGCTATTTGCTCTTTTCTGAGGCTGCCAACACTGGTAGGCTAACAGTTCTCTTTTGGACTTTTCTATCTTAAAACAATTATAAAAACTGCCAGTTATTGAATATTATATTGTCCTAAGCAGTGACTTATATAATCCTCAAATTGTGAATTAGGAGGAAATATTAATGCTCAGCTCACATTCTTTAATTGCTGAAGATCACCACTTGGTTACAGGTAAGAATTTAAACCCAGATGTTTGATGCCAAAACCTGCACTTATACAGGGTCCAGCAGAAGTAAGGCTTGCCTGAGTGTGGTTGGTAGGGTATTTGAATGTCTTGGAAGAGATGGACAACAATTTGAACATTTCATAGAAAATGTCGTAGGGTGTGCTTGAGTGTAATGTTATTATGTTACAGAATTACATACTTAATGATTTTGTAATAAAAGATTTTGTAATGAAAAATAGGGGCATTATTTGTGCCAGACCCTGTATTACCCAGCCTAGGCTACCGCTTACCCTTTTCAAATCTTCAACATTTATTCCTTGCCACCACCTCTACCACATGGTACAATTAACTGAATTTACTTAACTATTTTCCAGTGTATTTGTGGCAGCAACTGCCTATTCCTTTACCCTTTTATGAGATTGGTCTTCCTTTTTCACAACTATGTAGTGTCTGTATTTCTCTGTTTATCCACAACCTAACAGCATTTGAAACTTGGATCATCTGCTTTCTGGTTAGCTCTGCTCAATAAGCACTTCCCCAATTTAAAACCCACCACTGGGGAAAAGTTCAGCAAACATTATTTCTCTTTAGTTCATGAGGCAATCTCAAAGAGTTGGCACAGTACAGTACTAACATGAAAGTCTTGCTGGACCAAAGATACCAGAAAGCATTGTTACCAAAAGCACATGAGTATGTATATACTCAAATCCACAGAGATCAAAAGGAACAAATCAAGCCCCCAAACAAGATACGGGGAAGAGAACAAAGGTTAGTTTCAAGTAGGTGGCTAAAAAAGGAAAAAAAATCAAGGGAAATATGGCTTGCACGGATGTTCATTTAATACCAAAATAGTGGTGTGATATCAGCATCCTAGCCCCAGGCTTACTAGTATGTGCTGCTCATTCATAGATGGTCCCTGTAGTCCCCCTTTGTTTTCCCTCTTTCAGTTATGTGATTTTAAGAAGTTAGTGCCACACTGAATGTTTCATCAGTAGTTGGAAACATGTAATGGCTCATACCAGAAGATGCTTGTATCTGCTGCAAAGTCATAAATTCTTAGTTTGCAATTTTTATTCCCTTACTGTGCCACCAGAAGTTCTGTTTGGCTTTCCATTTCTCCACTGAATAATTAGTCATAGACATATTCTCTGACCAGTCTTGCCAGTTTTCTCCATTGGTGAGCCTTGATACATCTCTCAGAAAAACAACTGTACATTAAAATATTCTTCAAAATACACTCTTAGTAGCCAAGAATTCTGTAAGAGTAGGTTTACCTGCAGAGGTTGTAGAAAATTGGAAACTTGCTTTTTATGAGAGTTTTTGGGCCTTTTGGGAGTAGATGGGTGAGGGAAGTGGAATTCTTTGCCTGTTTTAAATTTAGTGAATCATTCTAAAGAGTCTTGCATATACATGAATAGTTTTGAATACTTCTCTAATGTTAGAAATTTGCATTACATGTTGCATGTTAAAATAAATCCCCATTTTAACCTTCAAAAACAATGAACCAAGAACTTGTTGAGTGTTACTGTATGTGTAAGACTACTGATGGTGGCTTTGGGAAAATATAAAAAAGTGAAGAGTGGTTCTTGTCTTTCAGGATCTTGAAATCAAGGTGGAAAAATAACACTTGGAAAAAAAACCATCTGGTTTCATTGTAAGCTCATACAGAACAGCTATCAATGTGATAAGGATTATGGAAGGAAACAACATGATGTATTTTGCTTATTCATCCCTTTGCTGGCTTCTCTATACATTTAAAACTTTTTTGTTTTCTTTAGTTTTTACTCCTCTTGGGTATCCATTTCCATCACCTGCATGCTTATGATCCCAAATCTATCTCCAGTCACTCTTCTGAAGTCTAGATCTGAATCTTCAATTGAGCAGCAGGGTTTAAGTTCGGAAGGGAAATTAAAGTTGTCCGTTTCCCATCTATAGCAATCTCCTCATCAGCATCCTAATGTCAGAGCCATCTAGGTGGGCTAGGATTTAAATGAATGCCAAATTAAGTTTATCTACTTCAGTCTGATGTGGGAAAAAAAGGTAATTATCTCCTTTCTTACGTATATCTCCTCTTCGTTAGCCTTTTCCTGATGTACACATATGCCCTTGACTCTGATCATTCCTTCCTATGGACAGCCACAAGTGGCTTCTGGTTTTGGTACCCTTGTTGCTGCTCAAGGAAAATTTAGTTTGTTGTGTTTAAATCCCTAACCTCCTTAAAAGTCCTTCACTTAAACTCCCAGGGGTGTCCAACCTGCAGCTTGCAGGCTGCATGCAGCTCAGGATGGCTATGAATGTAGCCCAACACAAAATTGTAAATTTACTTAAAACATTATGAGATGTTTTTGTGATTACGTGTCACCATGTATTTAATGTGTGGCCCAGAGATGCCAAAAGGTTGGACGCTCCTGTGAGGAGACCAACTACACTATTTAGAATTGTCCTCTCCTCTGTTTTTCCTATTTAAGGGGGCCGTCAAGTTTACACAGTAACTAATCTCATGCAATTAGAAGCTGGAAGTGAAAGAATGCCCAAAGGGTAGCAGTCTTTGGGGACATCTGATAATGTGAAAACTAATTTCTAAGGTCTCAGATTCTCTAAGACTTGTATCGTGAAGTGTTTTTTTTGTGACATGTGGCTTTTAATAATGGACTACGAGATCAAGGACCATGGAATCAATGTTTTACAATATACATTCAACAAATGTGTACTGAACAAATACTAATTGTACACTGTATGAATAAGGCATTATATGGGATACATGAGTAAGATTATCTGCATACAAATAATATACAGTGGAGAGGAAGAGACTTCAGGAAGAATGAATTAAGGGTTACATAAAGGGTGCAAATAAAAGACTCATTGATTCGGGTATGAGTGACATAAGATATGAGGAATGGAATTATAAACAGTTGAGTTGATCTTAAAAAATAACAAACTTTCATGATTTGTTGTGTTCAGTTATTGCCAAATGTCCTCTGTGGAGGACATCCTCAGTTGGGAACTAACTGCTATAAACCTTCAAGCACACAGGTATTAAGTCCACTTTCCAAGTTATCGAAGGCAATATTTTAAAACCTTTTTACCACTATTCCATCTTTCTAGCCTCTGATAGTAATTTTCCTGATGCCTGTTTCCTGATCACAAACTGAATGCCAGAAATTTGAGATTTTTGTCATGGCAACACCCATAGATAGGTACAAATTTATCTCTTGATCTGGCTAATTTATAAGCCTCAGAATTTTAGAGTTTTATAATAAATGCATTTCTCTCAGAAGTCTTGTGATGACATAGGACTTGATCAAAGCACAATTTTTGCTCAAGTGGTGATTCATTGGCCCAGACTTCTTCCATCTTGTGATTTTTGCATTTGCTGGATGCTTAGAGTCTTCTACATCCAGTTAGAAAATAGGAAAAGTAATAATGAAAAAAATTACACTACTTTTTAAGTTTCTTCTTTCAGAAGTGATAGATATATAATTTCAGTTCACATTCTAATGATGAGAACTAATCACCTGGCCCTGCATTAATAGAGGGGGTTTTGGGAAATGATTCCCTAGCTTGTTAGGGGCTTCCTACTGACAACTTTATACTATGGTAGGAGAAGGCACAAATTTTATTGAAAGTCTTTTCTGAAATAAAAATAATGGCAGTTATTCCCAGAGAATCATTTACCCTTCCCTAATCTTTACTGAGTTTGTAGTCTTTTATGGATGTGGTACTCTTCCAACTTTTGGTCATTCTTAATTGTAATTCCTTACTCTACAGCTGAAATTGTCTGAAAGACTATGGTCTCTGCTTATACAGCATATGTTGTGGAGAGTATGAAAACATTGGCTAAGGTTTGGTGGGGAGTAAAGAAACATTGGCTAACATTTGGTTGGAGCCATTGATAATGAGAATAAGGTATGGGCATTATATCCTGCCAGATAGAGAATTTGGTAGTGTGTTTTCTGAGGGTGGATACTGCAAATCCCTCCTCATGTTACCAGCTACCAGGGACATTGTCCTGTGATTACCTCAAGCTCTGCTTCTGTCTGGAGAGGGGCCTCGTTTTTTTCTTGTGACTAGCCTGCAAGGTGGCAGCATGTGTCTGGATCCTTGCATTAGGCCCCTTGTTGGTTACACTATATCTGGACTTCTTCCAGCTTTCACTCTTCATTATACAGAACATGATTTCCTCACAGTTTATGGTCCTTCAAAAGTTCACCTTCCTCTTCTGAGGATGGCTATACTGTACTTGCTTCATTTAAAAGTATAAATTGTCTATTTTTTATATGAATGATCGAAGATAAAAATAAAGCATCTGCTGTCTCCATATATCTTGGTATCAGAAGTCCCCAGTGTTGGGAACCTTACACCTGGCTTCTAGCTAAAAACATTGCATTGATTACAGGAACCTGTGCGCTCCACAAAGCCAATCGGCTACAGGCACATGAGGTGTCCACGAGTACCAGTTGCACCCAAGTAATCAATAAGTGGGCCCTTCTTTGTCTCAAGCTAGCCAATAGCAAGCAACCTAATCTCCTTCCTCTCCCTCCCCCCTATATATATACCCAGTTCGGAAAAATAAAGTTGACAGCTTGATCAGAATCTTTTGTCTTGCTGCCATTCTTCGTGCCTCTTGTCCCCCCAACTCATTTGTTCTATGTAGGTGGTCCAGCCCCAGTTGATTGCTCCGAGGGTGGCGCCCAACGTGGGGGCCGATAGCCGCGGGAACAAAGCGCCGTCCCCGCCAGTGACTTCCCCGCACAGATTGGATCGCCGCGACTACTCGACCGCAAGACAGATCCAGGAGCCCCTCCCCTCGACAGCAAACTCGGCCAGGTAAGGCCCCCAATCATGGGACAAGCATGTTCACAAAGTGATATTTTTATAAGTCAATTAAAGCAAACTCTCAAGGTGCGAGGAACTTGAGTTAAGAAAAAGGATTTAGTTTTATTTTTTGACTTTATATTCAAAATGTGCCCCTGGTTCCCCCAAGAGGGGACGATCGACCCGCAGTGTTGGAACCGGGTCGGAGATTGCCTTAACGACTATTATCGAGTCTCTGGCCCCCAGACTGTCCCTATCACCGCCTTCAGTTATTTTAATCTTATTAAAGAAATCTTAGTCACTCATGGGCATTCTCCAGATATCCAGAGCCTCTGTAAAGAGGGACAAGAAATTCTAAAAAATCAATCCTGGTCCCCCTCGAGGGCCCCTTCAGCCCAAAATCTCTGTAAAGAGGGACAAGAAATTTCAAAAAATCAATCTCGGCCCTCTTCGAGGGCCCCCTCAATTTCTATTAACATAGAGGAAGAGATTAAGAAAACCCCTAACCCTTCCTGTAATTCCTCAAATAACCATGTCTACCAATTAAACCCAGCAGAAGAGGCCGAAGTCGAAAAAGAGGCAGCTTCTTACAATAACCGTGACTGGCCTCCTCTCTCTTCTGCCCCCTTACTTAAAGATCTCCCAGCTTTTTGGCCGCCCCCCTATGCACCCTCGAACCTACCGCCCGCAGCCACCCGTATTCTAGCCCCCATTCTAAACAACCCCGAGCCACCAACAATCCACCAAAAACCCCTTCTCCAAAAAACCTCCATTCAAGAAGCCTTAATTCTCATTTGAGAAATCAAGGCCATGGCTAAAGAATTCACTGATTTAACCATATCCACCCCCCACTGAATTACTAGCTTTCCCCAAACTGCGGGGGAGTAGACCTAGATACCCAGACTGCTGACATTTTAATAGCCACACATCAAGCTCTTAACATATCTAACCCTCACCTAGCCGAGGATTGCTGGTTATGTATGAGCCTAGGCACCCCCATGCCTTTAGCTATTCCTGTCAATATATCCACCCTTAATGAATCACAGCTACAATGTAACCCTAGTTTACCTTTTAGAGTCCAACCTACAGTATTTCCACCCTCCCCGTGCTTACAAGGCATAACTCAAAATAAGAGCTTCGACATTCCCGTCGGCTCTGTAGAGTTTACTAGTTGTAGAAGCATAACCAATTATAGTAACCCCCTTTGCCCAGGTCATGGACAAATTCTCGTTTGTGGAAATAACCTGGCCTTTTCAGCCTTGCCCGCTAACTGGACCGGGCTATGTGTCTTGGCTACCTTACTACCAGATATAGATGTTCTCCCCGGAGACGAGCCTGTCCCCATTCCCAGCTTAGACCATATTGTGGGGTGACAAAAAAGAACATTAACATTCATACCCTTATTAGTTGGATTAGGTGTCTCTGGAGCAGTTGCCACAGGGACTGAAGGATTAGGAGTCACAGTCCATTCATACACAAAGCTCTCTAAACAACTAATTGATGATGTCCAGGCTCTGTCCAGTACCATTAGTGACATCCAAAACCAAGTAGACTCCCTAGCAGAAGTTGTCCTTCAAAACAGACGAGGTCTAGATTTACTTACTGCAGAACAGGGAGGTATCTGTTTGGCTTTACAGGAACACTGCTGCTTCCATGCCAACAAATCAGGCATCGTTTGAGACAAGATAAAACAGTTACAAGAAGACTTAGAAAAAAGAAGAAAAGAACTTTCCGAACACCCCCTTTGGGGTGGACTCAACGGAATTCTCCCCTACCTCTTTCCCCTCTTAGGACCTTTAGTTTCTATCACCCTCATCCTCTCCTTTGCCCCCTGGGTTCTTAGACGTGTAACCAACTTAGTCAAAGACCAACTTAACAGTGTACTAGGAAGACCTATTCAGGTGCACTATCATCAATTAGAAATGCTGGAACATGGAGCGGACTCTGAGCCGTACAGCCGCTGGGGTGCTAGCCCACGATTCCTGCCAGGTTCCCCTCCTGCGGGAGCAGCATAACCCTCGAAGGTATGCTTCACAGCCAAGTAGCTGTGATAGACACCGCTGGGTGCAAGGCAAAGCACTGCAAGGAGAGGCCTGTACATACGGCCACTTCGAGTCTCCTGAGAGGTAAGCTGACTTGCAAAGAGGTTGGTACCCAACTCCTCTCCTCCCAAAAGGTACCCCAAAGCTCAGAATGAGCCCAGGAGGAGTCAGGCCTCTGCCTCCCCCAGCCGGTTAAAGTCTACCCTACCTACATTCTCCTCACCCTCAAAGTAATAAAAAGGGGAGCAGATGTTGGGAACCTTACACCTGGCTTCTAGCTAAAAACATTGCATTGATTACAGGAACCTGTGCGCTCCACACAGCCAATCAGCTACAGGTACATGAGGTGTGCATGCGCTCCCCAAGCCAATCGGCTACAGGCACATGAGGTGTCCACGAGTACCAGTTGCACCCAAGTAATCAATAAGCGGGCCCTTCTTTGTCTCAAGCTAGCCAATAGCAAGCAACCTAATCTCCTTCCTCTCCCTCCTCCCCTATATATATACCCAGTTCGGAAAAATAAAGTTGGCAGCTTGATCAGAATCTCTTGTCTTGCTGCCATTCTTTGCGCCTCTTGTCCCCCCAACTCATTTGTTCTAGGTAGGTGGTGGAGCCCCAGTTGATTGCTCCGCGGGCCGGAGCACCCCAGTGTGTGATCTTAGATGAATCTTTAAATCTCTTTGATTCAATGTATCTGGACAACAGGAACAGTAATACAGATTGCTAGATGAGTGAAATAAAATAATGTATAATACTTTGCCAACTGGTATGTTTATTTTTATATTAATAGGAACAATAAAGGAGAAAGGGAATCGAAGAGGAAGAGAAGAGTGGGAGAGCAAGGTAACAGAAAATAGGAGTTTGTGGTTAAAGGAGGGGTTGCAGAGGTAGAGACTTGTAACTTTATTTTACAATGCGTTAAGCCAATTTATACAATAGGGTTCTGACACAACTTTTTCAGTGCTCTAAGTTACTTTCTCATATTATATGGGAACTAACCCTTTTATTCACAGTCACCTTTTTACAATATTACAATTATATGATGTTTGTAGATTCTCAATTTCAAGACATCTTTGAAAGGGGGCATTTCACTAAGTTGTAAAGGTATCAAGGCAGTAAAGAATCAATTGTGGTTAAGATCTCTTCCAGGTATAAAAATCAATATTTTATTAAAAGATACAGTGTAAAGAAACAAATAAATCTGAAAAGGAGAAATGGTAAGTAAAGGGCTATTGAATAGATTAGTGACAAGCATTTGTACAATCATCATCTCTTTCTGAATAAGGAAAATATTGTAAAAAACATAAAATGAGTGCTAACAGTGATGGCAGATTTGTTGCTTAAAACCTTTTGTAAATGTGATCGTGTTGAAATGACTTCATGTTGACTGCGAGAAGCTGCGTAGTTTCCCTTACCAGGAAAGACAGTGGCAGCAAGAATCTACCTTTTCATTAATAGCATTTTGACAAAAGATGATAGAGCTGCTTGGTATTTGATGCCATTCTGAAATTAAAAGAATAAATGCTATTAAGAACCAATAGCTCTTCTATTTTTCCCTTTATACAGAGTATCTTTTGAGTGTCTATTTGACAAAGTATCTTCCTTCATAGTAACCTTGCTGTTGTCTAGAGACTGAGCCCCAGTTCTCTGCCTTTTGCTGCTTGATTTTCATAGCCTCACACAAAATTTACAAGGGGAGACCCTGAGTAGATTGGTTTGGTGTCAACTGACACAAGTAACAGAAAATTGTCAGAATGTATGTGAAAGGGAAAATGTGCAAATTTCCTCATTTGTAAAAGACTCATTTGATAAAGCTTTTATTGTATAAGGCATGTCAAGAAAAATCTTTGTTGCAGAAAAGTATAAGGGTTCCTTGGCAACTGAAAACAAGAGACTACATTTGATCATATACTTAAACACCACTATGACTTGTTTTCATTGAAGTATTTAGTGTAGCTTATTTTTACTCTGTATAATACAGATATTTTATAAAATGAAATAAAATTTCATCCAGAATATATATGGAGTTCCTCCAGAAGTACGGAGTTTTCCGTCTCTGGTGGAGCTGAAAGATTGATTAGACAGGCAATTCACTAGACTGGAAGAGAAGGGATTCACTCACCATGTTGGTGGTTGGGTGAGATGCCCTTTCCAACTCTGAGGCTCCATGGTTCCTTCACATTGAAAGGTTGTAGGGAGATCCCTGATCAAATTACCACACAGCAATAGGAATACTTTTGGAAGCTTTTATTTGTGCAGTAAATATCTATTTAGTGCTTACTATATGTCAGGCACTGTTCTAACCCTTAGGGTTTTAATTTTCAGAATAAGTAGGTGCTTTTCAGAATATAAGCTTTTCATTTCTTCAGTTTCAAAGAATCACATTTTGCCATCAAAAATATACCCAGCCATGGAATCTAAAATAAAAATCCAGAAAGAACTAGACAACAAACATAATGAGACAGATGATATGCCTCTCTCTCAATGACTTTTTTTTTT